CTCTTTCCTCCTTCCTCATTGCTCCTTGCTCCTTCCTCCTTCCTCCTTCCTCCTCCTCCTCCTCCTCCTCCGTAGCCATTTTGGCCCAAGATGCTTGTGCAAGAGGGCATCCGCCCACTCGTGCCAGAAGGGATACCGCTGCCGCCGCGGCAGCTTTCAGTCAGTGCGGCCTGTCAGTCCAGGTCAAGACCGCTTGCACCAGCGTGCGGGCCGCCTTGTCATGCGGCGTGCGAGGAGGAGCTCGACGGCACAGGTGGCCATCCGGCGAGAGGCCCGTCGGCACCATGAGGGCCCCATCCTGCCAGGCCCGAAGAAGCCTACGTGGGGATGCTCGTGTGGGTCATCAAGCAACTGGGCGAGCCGCGTACGCGCCGGTCGTTGAAAGTAGGTATTTTTGGCTTCCCAGATCCCAATCTACTTCAAGCGCCCTCCTACTTCAAGAGTCGACATGCTTTTGCTGTGTTCTGTTATTCTCTGGGAGGACCTGGACCCAATCTACTATATCCGCCTTCCTACTTCATGTTTCTACCTACTTCTTCCGACCGACGCGTACGCTGCAGATGCGGAGCCTCAGCTCTAAAAATTGGCCTCGGAGTGCGACAGGGATAAGTTATTTGTAAGGGCAGGAATGGAGGAGGAGGAGGAGAAGGAGGAGGAGGAGGAGGAGGAGGAGGAGGAGGAGGGAGGCGAGAAGCTGGAGGTCAGACCGCCGTGCTCCATACAACACTCGGATCTAACTCAGGAGGGCTGGGGAACACACAGCCAATTGGGCCCCAGGGAGCCCCCAGGCATGACGGCGAGATAGGATGGCGACGTAGGAGACGGGGCAGCAGGCAGGTAGGAAAGAAGACGGGGGGGGGAGGAGGGGGAGGAGGAGGAGGAGGAGGAGGAGGAGGAGGAGCAGGAGGAGGAGGAAGAGGCAGAGGAAGAGGATGATGACGATTATGTTGGTGATGCTGATGATGCTGATGATGATGCTGATGATGATGATGATGATGATGATGATGATGATGATGATGATGATGATGATGATGCTGATGCTGATGCTGATGCTGATGCTGATGCTGATGATGCTGATGTGATGTGATGCTGATGCTGATGACGATGATGATGATGAGGAGGAGGAGGAGGAGAGGAGGAGAGGAGAATGAGGATGAAACGGAGGAGGATGAGGTGGAGGTGGAGGTGGAGAAGGAGTAGGATGAGGGGAAGGAGGAGGAGAAGGAGGATGAGGAGGAGGATGAGGAGGAGGAGGAGGGGAGAGGCAGAATGAGGAGGAGGACGGAGGGATGGGGGAGGAGGAGAGGAGGGAAGGAGGAAGAGGAGGAGGAGGAGGAGGAGAGGAGGAGGAGGAGGAGGAAGAGAGGAGAGGAGAGGCAGGAGGAGGAGGAGGAGGAGGAGGAGCAAGAGCAATTGGAGGAGGAGGATGAGGAGAGGAGGAGGAGGAGGAGGAGGAGGCAGATGATGAGGAGGAGGAGGATGAGGGGAATTGGAGGATAGGAAGAGGAGGAGGAGGAGGAGGAGGAGGAGGAGAGGAGAGGAGGAGGAGGAGGAATGAGGAGGAGGAGAGGAGAGGAGGAGGAGAGAAGGAGGAGCAGGAGCAGGAGGAGCAGGACGAGCAGGAGGAGCAGGAGAAGCAGGAGGAGGACCAGGACGAGGAGGAGGATGTGGAGGCGGAGGACGAGGAGGATGGGGGAGGAGGAGGACGAGGAGGACGAGGAGGATGGGGGGATGAGGAGGAGCAGGAGAGAGGAGGAGGGGGAGGAGGAGGAGGAGGAGGAGGAGGAGGAGGAGGAGGAGGAGGAGGAGGATGAGGAGGAGGAGAGGGAGGAGGAGGAGGAGGATACGAAGAAGAGGGGAGGACGAGGAGGAGAAGAGGAGCAGGAGGAGCAGGAGGAGGAGGAGGAGGAGGAGGAGGAGGAGGAGGTATGCGAGAAGCTGGAGGTCAGACCGCAGCGCCCTATACAATCCGAGAATCTAACGCAGGAGGGCTGGGGAAACACAGCCAAAAAGGGCCTCACGGAGCCCCCAGGCATGACGGCGAGGTGGGATGGCGAGGTAGGAGACGGGGCAGCAGGCAGGAAGGAGGGAAGAGGTGAGGAGGAGGAGGAGGAGGAGGAGGAGGAGGAGGAGGAGGAGGAGGAGGAGGAGGAGGAGGAGGAGGAGGAGGAGAGGGAGGACGAGGAGGAGGAGGAGAGAGGGAGGAGAAGGACGAGGAGGAGGAGGCGGAGGAGGATGAGGTGGAGGAGGAGGGAGAAGGAGGAGGAGAAGGAAGAGGAAGAGAGATGATGAGGAGGAGGAGAGAGGAGGACGAGGATGATTGGGGTATGAGGAGGAGGAGGAAGAGGAGGAGGAGGAGAGGAGGAGAGGAAGAGGAGGTGGAGGATCAACTTGGAAGAGGAGGAGAGGAAGAGGAGGAGGAGGAGAGGAGGAGGAGGAGAGGAGGAGGAGGTTGAGGAGAGAGGAGGAGGAGGAGGAGGAGGAGGAGGACCAGGGAGGCGAGAAGCCGGAGGTCAGACCGCTGCGTTCTATACAAAACGAGAGTCTAACGCAAGAGGGTTGGGGAAACACAGCCAACAAGTGCTTCAGGGAGCCGCAAGGCATGACGGCGAGGTAGGATGGCGAGGTAGGAGACTGGGCAGGCAAGTAGGAGGGAAGAGGGGGGGAGGAGGAGGAGGAGGAGGAGAAGTAGGAGGAGGAGGAGGAGGAGGAGGAGGAGGAGGAGGAGAAGGAGGAGCAGGAGGAGCAGGAGCAGGAGTAGCAGGAGAAGCAGGAGGAGGACCAGGACGAGGAGGATGATGATGAGGAGGAGGAGGAGGAGGAGGATGGGGGAGGAGGAGGACGAGGAGGACGAGGAGGATGGGGGGGATGAGGAGGAGCAGGAAGAGGAGAAGGAGGAGGAGGAGGAGGAAACTGGAGGAGGAGGAGGAGGATTACGAGGAAGAGGAGGAGGACGAGGAGGAGGAAGAGGAGCAGGAGGAGCAGGAGGAGGAGGAGGATGAGGAGGAGGAGGAGGAGGGAGGCGAGAAGCTGGAGGTCAGACCGCAGCGCCCTATACAATGCGAGAATCTAACGCAGGAGGGCTGGGGAAGCACAGTCCAAGAGGGCCCCAAGAAGGCCCCCAAGGGGGACCTCGAACTGACATGTTGTGCCCTCCGCCCCAAGAGTACCCGGACACCGCCTGGAGGCCCCCAAGAGGCTTCCCGGAAGCGCCAGGGGACCCCCCAAATGTTCTTGGATATTCTATACTCACTTATCCTCGCTCCTTCCACCTCTCTCCTGGCACCTCGCTTTTCTCTCGTGGCTGCTGGCGTCTGCCTCCCCCCCTCTCTGGCTCTCCCTCAACTCTCACCTCCTCTTTCTTTTTGTTGTCTCTCTATCTCTCTCTGTCTCTTCAACCTTCGCTCGTCCCTTCTCGCTCCGTGCTCCTCGCTGATCGCTCCTCGCTTCCATCACTTGCCCCCTCGACCCTGACTCCTCGTTCCTAGCTCCTAGCTCCTCGCTCCTCGCTCCTCGGTCTACTCACGAGCTGCCAGGTTGCGTCATCTTGCAGCAATGGTACAAATAATCAGCTCTCTGCAACCCCAAGCAGCAAGTTCAACTGCAATCAACATCAGTCCGCGGCAGGCAACGGCAGCATAGCAAACATCAGCAGCGGCGACGACATACGGTAGGCAGCGGCACCCTGCAGCCGCAGGCAGCAACAGCAGAGGCAAAGTCAGTGTCGAACGTCATCACGAACACCTTTCGGCAACATCTGGGCCATGGCCCGACGTGCCATCTCGGACAGATATCGTGGCTGGTAGGCACGGTCCAGCCCTAGTCAGCTACAACGCTGGGACCATTGCGCGCGAGAAGTGCAAGCAGTGGCAGCGGGCGCTGGCGCTGCTGAGCGAGATGTGGGAGGTGAAGCAGGAGCCCAACGTCAGCAGCTACAGCGCTGGGATCAGCGCGCGCGAGAAGGGCGAGCAGTGGCAGCCGGAACTGGTGCTGCTGAGCGAGTAGTGGGTAGGCGTGTCCCGAGCCAGCATGGTAGTCACAGAGGTGACTCGCACTTGAATGCGGGGACCAGCAGCAGCAGCAGGAGGAGGAGGAGGAGGAGGAGGAGGAGGAGGAGGAGGAGGAGGAGGAGGATCAGAGGGCTTGGGAGGGCTTGCAGCAGGAGGAGGAGGAGGAGGAGGAGGAGGAGGAGGAGGAACTTGGAGGAGGAGGACGAGCAGGAGGAGGAAATTGGAGGAGAAGGAGGCGGAGGTGGAGGGCGAGGAGGAATATGAGGAGCAGCGGGGCGGCCGGCGTGGAGTGGAGGCGCTCAATAACCTCGGCGTGGCGTGCACCACCACGGGCCGGCTGCAGGAGGCGCTGGAGTACCTCACCCGCGCGGTGGCCTCCGCCCCGAGCTATGCGGAGGCGGCACACCGGAGGGGGGCAGAGGGGTTTCGCCTCCACGAGGAGGAGGAGGAGGAGGAGGAGGAGGAGGAGGAGGAGGAGGGGGAGGAGGAGACCGATGCCTTTTCGTGGGCCCTCTGGTGGTCGGGGTGCGTCGCCACAGCCGTGTTCGCTTCCACGTCCTGGGCAGGGCTGGCCGCGGGAGAGGTCGGGGCATCTACAGGGGCATGCGGAGGTGGAGGGATGCAGGAGGGAGGGAGGGAGGAGGAAGGAGAGGAGGAGGGAAGGAGGAAGGAGGGAAGAAAGAGGGCGGAGGATGGATGTCAGCCACGCGCAGAGGGGGGGGGAGGGGGGAGGGCTTCTTAGAAGCACCCCTGCTTCTTAGGAGGCGCGGGCCTCATCTATAGATGTAGGGCCAGCGGCTTTTTAGGAGCAGCCTCCTGTACAGAAGCCCTTCCCCCTCTCTCCGCCCCCCTGGTGCGCGCCGCCACGGAAGGCGGGAAGAAGGAACGGAGCGAATTCTAGGGGTGGAATATGAGCGGTCTTTGTTGATGACGTTGATGGTACCTCCGGGGGGCGGGTCTGTCACCGCGGCTGGATTCGCTCCGAACTCCTGGGTGTGGTCACATAGGGGAGGTGGTGTCTTGCAGGGTGCTCCCGGCAGGCTCTTGGCGGCTCTTGCAGGTTCTTGGAGATGTCAGGGCGGACGAGGAAAGTGTTGTGTAAATCGCCCACCCGTGTCCTTCCACCCTTCATCTCCCCCATTCCCGTCGACGTCCATCTCCATCTCCATCTCCGTCTCGTTCCGCATCTCCATGCACAATCCCCATCCCGCCGTGCCCCGGGTCCCCATTCCCCGCAGAGGTCTAGTCCCGGCTCGCTTGCCCCTCCTGCCTCTCCCATTCTCCACTTCTCCACCCTTCTCCCCCCAAACCAGTCCTTTCTCTATCCCCTCCTTCTGCCGCGTCCGTTCATCCGCTCGTTCATCCATCTTCCCCGTCTCTCTCTCTCTCTCTCTCTCTCTCTATATATATATATATATATATGCCGCTGACTCGGTCTCTGTGTCGCGCTCTCTGTCTGCCTCTTGTTCTGCTTATCTTTGTTTGTTTCTCTGTATCTCTCTCTCTCTCTCCCTGTTTGTTTGTTCCCCTCTCCCTGTTTGTTTGTTTTCTCTCTCTCTCTCTCTATCTCGCTCTCTTTCTCTATGTTTATCTCTCTGTCCCTCCGTGATGTGTTCTTGATATCTCTCCCTCACTGTATGTATACACATGTGTCGTTTCCCTCTCTCTCATTCTTGTTATTCTCTCCCTTTCTCTGTCACTCCCTCTCCCTCTCTCCCATTCCGAACCTTCACCCGATTCTCGTTCTGATCATCTTTCCCATCCAGCAACCTTTCACATACCGTATACCCATCATCATTGCCATCGCAATCGCCCTTTCCGTTCCCGTCCCCATCACCACCACCCCCGTCCCCACCCCCTCCCCTCTCATTCCCTCCATTCCTCTTTCCCATTGTGCATTCCTTTCCCCTGCTTTCTGCACCCTTCCCTCCTTCCCTTCCGCGCCCTCCCTCGCCCTCTCTTTCCCGCCGTCCCTGGCGCCCCTTCACCCCGACCACTCCTTCTCCGTTGCCTTCCCCTCTTCCTTTTACCTGTCCCCCCTAGCCCTGACGCTGATACCTCCGCGTCACAGCCGAGAGCCCGGAAGGCGTACAACAACCTCGGCTGGCTCTTCTGGGACCATGGGGACCTCGGCCAGGCCCTGCGCATGTACGAGCGCTGCATCGAGCTTTCCCCCTCGTAGTCCGCTCAGCTTGCGATGCCGCTCTCCAGCCGTCCCAATGAACCGTGTGGGGGCCCCTCCGTGGTACAGTCGGGGCGCTGAAGAAGGAACCCTTTTCGTTGGGGAGGGGCTCGGTGTTCCTTGATGGTTTCAAAGTTTGCCTCGGGTTTTCCTTAGGTTTTCCAGAGGAAATCGAGGTTGAACTTATGGGAAAAAGAGGCCTCGTTCCTTATTTAGGGTTCCTTAGGTCAACGCCTCGACTGTAGCAATCGCGAGTCCCCGCCGCTCGATCCAGTGCCCAGTGCTGCGCTCCCCTCTTGTCTGGCGTGGTCGGGCCGCCATGGCTCCTCTTCTCCCTTCCTCCTGTGTATCTAGATGCCCGTCGGCCTCTTCACGGACGCTCTCGAGACGCGGCCGTTGTCGATCGCCAAGGGCTTCTCTCCTCTTTCCTCCACCTACCCCTTCCTCCGCGGGCGCCAACCTTCCCTTCCTCCTCCCTTTCTCCTCCTGCCCCCCCCCCCCTTCTTACTCTCCTCTACCTCTCCCTCCTCCCTTCTCGCTTCCTCCCTTCCCCCTGCCTCCCCCCAACGCGGCAATTGAACCTAATTTCCCGCTTAGGTTTCTTGCACTCGCCCTTGATTCATAATTCAGGGTGAGGGTTCTGGCTTTTCTCAGGCTGCGTGCATAAGGGCGTCCTGCGGAGTGGAGGCATTCTTCCGCCAGACTGTGGCCAGGCCGTCTTTTTGGCCAGGGCGTTCTTCTTTGCTCCTGTCGATGCTACCTCCAAGTCTGTGTCTGGACAGTCTTTGCGATCATGAGTTGATGATGTACCTGGTCGCTTGTATCCCACGGATGCGTCCCTCGCGGCCGCTCTTCCTATTCTGCTGAGGGCTCTCCTGGCAGGTCTTCGCAGGCGGAATGTCCAGCCCTCCCTTGACAAATGTGGGACATGGGCCTCGTCCGCGAGCTTACGTCGCGAGCTTATCCCGATGGCGCGACAGCAGGGATGCGGTGAGCTCCAGGGTCTCGCGACTGCCAGGGACCCGGGCCGTAACACCCGTCCTGGTGTTGGACGGACCGTTGTCGTCCGGCGCGCTCGCGTGAACGTTGCCAGCAGGGCGTCGGCAAAAGTCGACCGCTTCTCCTGTGCGAGCCGGGATGTGTGCAAGCTTTTCCGCACGGGTGTGTATCCGAAGAGTTGTTGGGCTTCCGAGGCGTACAGCCCGGCACCGCACGGAGGGATCTACGGTGCCGATGGCTCTGGAGGGCCTTTTGCCACCGATCCCATCTTGCGTAGGGTGACGCTCGGCTTCGCGCGCCTGTGCGCTGTTCCAGACCTTGATTGAGGCGGCGGAGCGCACGGGGTGCTGGACGGTCAATGCCAGACGGTGCCGCGAGCCGAGCTGGTTGCCATAGTTAAGATGTTGTGTCGCGTGGCTCGTGAACATCACTCGACTTTGATCACTGACCACATCAATTGCCAGACAGTTTTCCAGAGGGGACGCTACCACACCCTTCGGTTGCAGAGTGCTGACCTGTGGCGGGAGCTCTGACGAAGGCTAGATTTACGATTTACGGTCCGGACTGTTTGATTTGTCTCACGCACCTAGTCATGTTGCCGATTATGATGCGAAGTTTGCTTGCCTTGCGACGTCTGCAGGTCCACGTCATCTTTTCATCTAGGTCACCGCATATGATCTGACCACGGCGCGGTCGGCTAGCCCCATATCCCTTCCGAGGCGATCGAAGTTGTTGAATTTGAAAACTTCGATGACCGCATTTCGCGACGTGAGGGTTCCATCATCCAGGAGCGTGCCAGGGCGCCCACGACTCCATAACGTATAGTGCATCGCGTCCAGCTCCTGCGACTGTTCGGCAGGCGCAGAGTCGTGATCGCACTTCTTGGCGCTTTCAGCCACAATCTCGAGGCAGTGTCCAAGGAGGTATGGAGGTGCCCAACGTGCCGCCCGCCCGTTTTCCTGCACGGTTCGTTCGGAGTGTGAGGCCTTTTGTATTCTGCGCCTCCCATGCCAGAGCGGCAGGTGTCAAAAACGGGCTAGAGGGCGACGAGTAGCGGGCTCGCAGGTCGTCAAAGCACCAATCGTTGTAGGTCAAAGTATGGTGTGAGCTTGAATTTTCCGAACCCCCTCGGCATCTGCCTCCCCAAGTCTTCGTCCACGAGCGCAGGTTGTATGATTGGCACGCTGCTTGAAGCAAAGGCCAGATCTCTGCCTCGCGCTTTGCGCATGAAGTGACAGTGCTTTTTGCATGGCCTGGAGGCCCTCACAGCATATAGCTGTGAAGCAGTGGGGTGACTCAGATGGCTCAGACAAGGAAGGCGCCGAATAATTATCATAATGAGGATAATACGAATAACAATTTTAAGCATACTACTAATGATGGTAAGTGCCTTGACTGATGCTTAAGAACCTGATGCTTAAAAACCATGTATACCTTTAACCGACTTCTACTTTAGAACGTACACTGCCTTCACCGGCGTATAACTGCCTTTACCCCAGAAGGGAGCACTGCCGCTACAATGCCTTGACATGCTCCTTGACGTGCTCCATGAGGGTGGGGTTCACTCCGCTCGGGAGCTCCCGAGCGAAGTGAACCCCACCCTCCTCCTCAGAAATCGTGGGGGGTAGGGGTAGGGTTCGCGTCTGGCCCCCTATCGAGGGCGCCTCCCCGAGCGGCCGGCCCACCTCGACTACGGGGAGGAGGGGGCGAAGGGGTGATGGGGGGAGGGGGGCGGCGCACTGAAGAATCTGGACGCCCGAAATGGGTACTGAAAGAATGGGTACTATGCCCAACTGCAGTTCCTGTTCATTTTGAACAGGATTTGCTGTCCACGCCGCCGCGGCCTGTGCCCATTTGAGACAGAGGGCCGCCTGCCCAACAGCGGCCGCTGTTGGTTTGGGACAACATTTGCTGTTGGGCATTGTACCCATTTGTTCGGTACCCATTTCGGGCGTCCAAAAAGAAGTCAAGAAGGAGGGCTTGCGCCATTGTCGGCCCCCAGAGGCCCTCGCCGGGCCTTGGGGCCGTCAAGACACGGTTCGGGGTGAAGCACCGCGCCCAGGGAGAGGGTCGGGACTGCCAGGGACCGTACGGAACGAATCAGGAATTCGCATGCCTGGGGAAGCGGCCAGTGAGGAAGAGAGGGGTGAGACACATGATGAGGAAGAGGAGGGAAAGGGAAGCGAGGATGGATGGGGGTGCCGATGTCCAAGAAACCAGGCCAGACCGGCGGCCAGTGAGGAAGGTAGTTGCGAGGAGCAAGATGACGGATAAGGGGGGAGGAGAGGCGAGGACGAGGAGGAAGTGCAAGATAAAACCATCCCAGACCCCCAACGTTCTGATGTTTGCACATCGTGGGCCCCCACCTATTCCCTGGGACCTGTTTTTCATCCTGGGCCTTCGTGTTGACGGCCCTGGGGAGCCCCGAAAACTTGCACAGGAGGGCCCGTCGTGATTTCTGTCCGGACGCCGAGGTCCAAGAACCCGTGCCAGAACCGCCTGCTCGCGCTGAACTACCTGCACGGCGTGTCCCCCGACGTCGTGTACGAGGCCGCCCCCCTCCGAGGGGCGGGGGGGTAGGCATAGGGGGTGGGGGGGCGCATCGACCCCCCTATCGACCGTTCATCATCGCCCATGGGGGACCGATGGCCCCAACCTGCCCAGGCACGCGCGGGCTCGCTGTCGGGGGCCTATCACTCTTCAATCGGCGATGCATCGCCGATTCCAGGTCGACGTGTCCCCCACCCCGCTGTTTCCAGTCCCCGCCCTGTCGCTGCCCCTCGGGGTGGGGGGGGACCCTGCCGCGCGGATGAGGCACGCCGCGACCCTCAGGCCTTCCCCGCGGGCGGCGTGGGCCGCTGGCTGCGCCTGGTTCCGAGGAGGAGAGGGCGGAGGACTCGAAGGAGGAGAGGAGGAGGGCGGAGGAGGGCGGAGGAGGGGGGGAGGATGGGGGGGGGGGGGGGAATGGGAGAGGAGGGAGGGAGGGAGGGAGGAGGGAGGCAGGGCGGATGAGCCGGAGAGGAGGAGCAGGGCGGAGGAGGGAGAAGGAGAAGGAGGAGGAGGAGGAGGATTAGGAGGAGGAGGAGGAGGAGCGAGGAGGAGCAGGAGATGGAGGAGGAGGAGGAGGAGCAAGGAGGAGGAACGAGGAGGAGAAGGACATATGCAGGATCCATCTCCCGCACTCGGGGCCCCGGGGCAGCGGGGCCGGCCTTAGCCCGCTGGCCGTCGCCGCCGCGCGATGGCGGCACAGCGGGCGACAGCAGCCAGGAGGAGCACGAGGAAAACTATGTTGATCGAACTATGTTACATGGGCATTGGTGTGGTTAGGTCTGGCCTGGATGTGATCCTTCATGAAGCCACTCCTATTCCTCGATCGGGAGCTCGTCGTGGATTGATGCACTTATCAGGTGTGGACCTACCCCATAGTTAGGGTGTTCCACTTCACCGCCCTCACGAGATGAACGTGGTGACGGGCCTTCCGGGGCCCATGCCGCTGCGAGCTGCGGCACGCAGGACAGGCTACTGTACGCGTTTTGGCCTGAACGCCAGATGGGGTGGCATATCCCCCATGGTGGCCGCCATGACGAAAGCCAAGTACGATACCGATTCCGACAGCAAGTGCAACACCGGATACAACACCAAGTACAATAATGAGGGAAGCCGTGGTATACGAGAGCGCGCGCGGAAACATGAAGAAGACGTGCAATACGAGAGCACGCACGTGAGCGGTACCATACGAGAGCAAACTGCGCATACAGATCAGCACATACCGTACATCGTCCGTCGTGGAGGTCCCAATGCAGCAGCAGCAGCAGCAGCAGCAGCAGCAGCAGCAGCAGCAGCAGCAGCAGCAGCAGCAGCAGCAGAGCGACGACCAGTACGGCGACCAGCACGGCGATGCCGCACAGTACGTGGACCAGTACGACCGCCAGGGCTTCGACGGCCTCCAGAGCATCTGCACCACAGGCGAGGAAAGGCGTGACTGGCTCCAGCTGGTCCCACATCCTTCCAATTTGTGGACGGACTCCCAGACGGAGCCGTTTGTAAAGCTACGACGGCCACAACCCAAATTTCGAGGGCGGCAGGTAAAGGTATTACAGCCCAGCAGATCTACCATGGCCACCAGGATATTCTCGAGGACCACAAGCTGAGCTACGCGGAGCACAGGCACAGCTAGGATAACCACCAGAAGAGCGTCAATGCCCCATGCGCTGAGCTACGAGAGCCACTAGCAGTGCTACGACAGCCACAAGCTGAGCTACGAGAACCGCAAGCTGAACTACGAGGGCTACCAGCTGAGTTCTGCGGGCCACGAGCACAGCTACGAGGAGGGCCACCTGCGGATCTACGAGGACCACGTCTTGATGTAAGAGTGCCGTCAGCTGAACTCCGATGGCCACCAACAGAGCGACGACGACAAGAGGGAGCGCCTAGAGGGCCATCAGCTCAGCTTCAAGGGCCACCAGCTGAGCTCGGCGAGCCACGCGCAGAATTACGAGGACCACAGGTTGAGCTACCAGGACCACGTGCAGGGCTACGAATGCCACAGGCAAATCTACAGGACCACCAGCCGAGCTACGAGGACGACAAGCCGAGGAGGAGGAGGAGCAGTTGCAGGAGCAGGAGCAGGAGCAGGAGCAGGAGCAGGAGCAGGAGCAGGAGCAGGAGGCGGAGGATGGCAACACTGGGGACAGCACGGCTGGCACCCAGAACGCGGAACCTTACGATTTGGCAACCGAGGACTCCGATTTCGACTTCGCGGGCTCCGACGTCCAGAGGGACGTGCAGGTGGACGTACTCTTCGCCTACACACCTATTGATAGCAGGCCACCCTAACTCTGGAGTGGTGCTAGCTGCTAGAGAGCTCTGAGATGCGCTGGGCACCAGGCCGCCCAGTGAGAAAAAGAGCGTAACATATGAGACAACGGAATATCATTGCCAATTGCTGTAAAATTTGGCTTCATGGCCCGCGTCGAAACATGCGATATGCCCAGTGCGGGCGAAAAGGCTGGCAATGGACGCAGGCAGCACGAGCGCTGCTGGGCCAGCATGGTGTCGCCTTCATACGGGCAGCTGGACCGTGCCAGCGCGTTGAACACGCGCGTGCGGCGGGAACGTCGGGAGCGGGTTGGGGCGGGAAGCCATTTGAGGTGTTGGCGGAGGGCGGGGGCCTCCAGAGCGACCACAGACGCGCAGTCCAGCCAGGACCACAAGGGCGAGCGGAGGGACCCGCAGCGGCCTTCACCCACGGGGCCCGCGGCGCCTGGGGCGATCTTACCACTGCGAGCAGCGCCTCGCCTACTTCTTGGGCCAGGTGCGCGAGCACGAGGCCCTGCAAGCTCCGCAGCGTGGACCAGCGCAGCTCCGATGAGCAGCAGAATTACGAGAACGTCCAAAAGAACTCCGAGAACAATCCGCCGAATTACGAGGGCAAAAGAAACTTCGAAAACCACCAGGATACCTAAGATAATCCGCCACCAGAGTAACGAGAGCCACAAGCAAAAATATTACATCCACCAGCAAAGCTAGCAGGTAGACTGCCCGTCCTTCGAGTACCACAAGCTCAACTACGAGAACTATAGGCACAGCTTTGAGAGCCACCCCCAGACCTACGAGGACCACAGGCTCAACCACGAGGGCCACACGCAGGGCTACGGGGACCGCGCCGCCAGCTCAGCCACGAGGGCTGCAAAGTCAATTAAGGCGGCCAGATGTGGGTCAACGAGAGCCACCAGCTGCACCACTAGGGCTGCCAGCTGAGCTACGGGAGCCACAAGCAGAGTTACGAAGACCACCAGCCCAACTACCGGAGGCACCAGATCTGCGTCTTCGGAAACAAGCAGACCGACTGCAGCCACCGACAGTGCTACCAGGGCCACCAGCGGACCCCCCAGGACCACTTGCAGACCCACCAGAACCACTGTGCACATGCGAGAGCGATCTGCCGAGCTACGAGGGCCACGACGTGAGCTACGAGGGCCACAAGAGTGAGCAGAGCCTCCTGCACATCTACCAGGGCGACAATCTCAACTGACAGGACCGGGAGCAGAACTCCGTGAACTACCAGTTCAGCTTCGAGGGCCAATCGCGCAGCTACGAGGGCCACAGCCTGAACTACGTTGTTCGCAAGGAGAAGTGCGAGAGCCTTTTGCTGAGCTGCCAGGGCAACAAGCTGAACTGAATTGCCAATCGGCTGGGCTTCAAACTGCGCTACGAGGGCCTCAAGCAAAGCTACGAGACTTACCAGAAGTCCTGCCAAGGCCACCTGCTGTTCTACAAAAGCTGCCAGCAGAGCTAACAGGGCCACCAGCTGAGCTGCGATTCCCACGCGCTGAGCCACGGGAGCCACCTGCAGGGCTACGGGGACCACCAGCTGAGCTACCAGGGTCAGTCTCTGCACAACGAGGTCCACTCAACGAACACCGAGTCCCACGGAAGACCTGGACTACCATAAAGCCGATCGTTATCGGCAGCGCGGCCGGCGCAGGGCAGGCTCGGCAATACTTACTACGACTACGTCGTGGAGAAGCTGGATGAGACGTCCAGCACAGTCCGCTGGCTGGATGGCACTACGTACCAGATCCAGCACGCGGCACCCCGTAGACCGCGATAGGTACGGCGTGATCAGCTTACCAGAAGCTGCCAACTATGGATGCCCAGGACGGTTTCTTTGACTTTTACCGAAGAGGCGAGACTGGCCTGCCTGGAGCCAGAGAAGATTATGAACTACAGCGTGATGGACAAGGGTCTACACATACATCGTTACACACCAGATACGACATACTTCAATTTAACGCTGTACCTCCACATACCATGAGCGGCCCAGCCGCTCCTCCTCATCCCTCTCCTTCCGCCTTGGGAGTCAAGCTAGAGGACGGGCAGGTGGCCTCTCCCCTTCCTGCCCCCCCACTTCGGAAACTGGGCCCCTCGTTGGGCCGGAGGCCCCCGCGCCTCCCGGTCGCGGCACGCCCTGCTCGCGCGGCGGCGCGGCAGCGCGGATAGGGGACGGCTGAAACCGCTGCGTGAGAAATGATGAAGGAGAGAGCGAGAGAGAGAGAGAGAGAGAGGAAGAGAGAGAGAGAGAGAGATAACACAAAACACTAAAAACAAACAACATAAAGAGAGAGAGAGAGAGAGAGAGAGAGGGAGAGAGAGAGAGAGAGAGAAGGAGCGGGAGAGAGAGAGGGATGCAGAGAGAGAGAGAGAGAGATATACATACATCTACATAGAGAGAGAGAGAGAGAGAGAAATGGAGAAAGAGAAAGAGAACGCAAAGAGGAGGAACGAGGAGGAACAACGAGGAGGAAGAAGAGGAGGAGGAGGAGGGGGGGAGGAGGGTGAGGAGGAGGAGGAGGAGGAACAGGAGGAGGAGGAGGAGGAGGAGGAGGAGGAGGAGGAGGAGGGAGGGATGTGGAGGATGACGAGGACGAGACGATGAGGAGGAGGAGAGGAGACGAGGACGGGGACGAGGGGGAGGAGGAAGAGGAGAGGAGGAGGAGGAGAGGAGGAGGACGAAGAGGAGGACGAGGGGAGAGGGGGGGGAGGAGGAG